CGAGCATTTTGCGTCGCACTCGATTGTCTCAGTCGCCGCAGTCGCAGTTATCAGCGTTGGCATTAGGCACGTTATTGAAATGTCGTCGCCGTTGCGGCGATAACAGCTTTCAATAGTTGGCTGGGGGTTATGCGGGGTTACGCGGGGTTCAAACCGGCCAGATTGCTGGCCTGCTATGAAATTACATATGTAGCTAATGTCAGTTGTTTTCATTGTTATTGTTGTTCTGGATGGAATAAAACAAAAACAATACAAAAGGCTAAGCAATAATTGAAGTTGATGTTGAAATGGATTTTTGTTTTGTTCTATTATACACATCAGTGCCAACTGTATTTAATCATATGAGTAATATAGATGCATATATAAATATATACATTGTTTCGTAATTTTACACACTTGCGCCTTGATACACTAATCTATTCTTTACAGATTTACTATAAATATATAAAGTATACTTCGATTTATAAAGGTCTTAAATATTCTTCGAGAAGAAAACAGGTTTACTCCGTAACTCCATATCTTAATACTATTTACTGTATCTCTTGGAGCTCCAGCAGTATTATTGATCATAGTATTTATAGTCTGTCTCATTAAATACTTGTACTTGTTTTATGGGTGATTAACTGATAATTGATACAACCTTAGTAATTATATTTACATATATTTACCTATTAATTCGTATGTATTAGAAACATAAAAAGTGCTAACAAGAGCTTATTATATTGAAAGATATACACAACAGATAATGACGAAAATTAAATATTTGCTTATATAAAACATGATGACAAAATCAACAATAGCAAGTCTTAGTTTGGAACTTAATATTTATTAACTAAGCTCTCGTGATCTATTCGATAACTTGAACAAAATCATCAGGCAAAATTTAAATTATACACTTATTATATCACATAAACGTTTCAAAAAATATTGTTTTATCTATAAAAAAAAATAATGCAGGGAATTGATTTGATAATTAGTTTACCTCTTTTAAATATTCTCACATTAAAGTTAACTGGTTTTTCTTGTTATTCTTTCTCATATACATAACACGATGATATTATGTCCAAGTACCTTAAACAAATATGTTATCAGTGTAAAATGACACATATGATATGTAGATACTTTTATCAGTTTCCACTGAACATATTTATAGCATTGACATTGACTTTCCGCTCAAATACATGCATACTCGTTAATGTAGGGACTAAGGCAAAAACTATGTTTTTGCATCAACTATTCACTTAAATTTGATAAAAATGAATGATTGTTGATAAGAGTTGTACAAAAATATATGAATTTATGTTGTGCCTGGTAATGACTACGAATTCAATGAATAATTATAATAATACGGGTAGTTCCCACAGATTTTTATGATATATGCATACATTTTACTGAACTGTACCTTGTCATGTTATACTTATTCGCATGCTAGATGTTTTATACGAATTGGCATTTTCATAGATCTCTCTTTTAGAATTTCAAATAAATATGTTCAAATTTATATTTAGGAACAAAACCAAAAAACAAATTAGCTAAAAATAAAATCCAAATTACGTAGTTCGTGCAAAGTTTGCTTTCGGGCAGTCGCAACAAACAAATACACAATATATAGTATCCACCTCTCGAAAAATCAAACAAATCTATATCTGTGTATGTGCCAAGCTTTATGTATATGTTGAAAGATTTGGATTGAGGTACATCTATTATGTACTGCGTATGTTTATATTTTGTTGGGCATATGGAATAAAAACTTAATTAATTTCAAATTGTTTAATATTGACAACTTGTGAAATAATCTCTCGGAACAAAATCATAAACCGAAAGTATTTGGAACCCTATAAAATGTCTATAAAAATCAACATCTCTGACTTTAATGAGTTTCATTTAAATACCAGATTACAGAACATATGTACATATGTACATATATATCAAATAATAACAGAATAATAACGCTCATTTAAAAAATTCGAAATCGTCTTTTAATATTTTATAAAATCATCATAAGCTGAATATGCAACCGTACATTTTTAATAGAACCTCTCTATAAATATTAAAGTTCGCGCTACAATAAACTCAAAAATACAAAAACAAACGCACACGCGCCTAAAATTTAGCTAAATACATATATACATATATATATATATCTAGATACATATCTATACTAAGTTTTCATTTTTTGTTAGTGTATTTCGGGGGCTCGACCCGATCGCCGTATAGGTAAATATAAAATGAACAGACTAGAGCTTTATAAAGTAATAAATACATCCGCTTCATTCTACGCCAACAACAACATTGTGTATCACTTGTTGCGCTTATCAGCGACACTCGAATGAGCTTTTTTATGGATTGTCAATAAAAAGTATTTGCGAAAAATGCAAAACAAAATAGAAAAAAATTTGAAATAGAAATTGAAAAAAAAAGCGTTGAGGGGTGAGCATTGTTAATCTCAGATTACGAATCGATATGGACAACAACAACAACAACAAGAATCTATAACAAGAACCTAATAAGAAAACCTGCAGCAACAATAACAACAAAAACAACAACAAATTCTCGTTTTGCAAAACTAACGGTGACGCAGCATATCAAAAAAATTGAACTCTAACGATGACGCTGCACAAATCTATGCGCCCCACTGAATCGCCAGCGAGAATTGACAACAACGAGTTGGCAACTCTCTCAGACAACGACAGACACACCGAGCGAGCGAGCTTTATGGCAAAACTAAAGTAATTTATAGCACCACAATAAAAGAATTTCTTTCTTTTTTTTGGATAAATAAAAGCACAAAAAAACGCAAAACAAAAACCAAGATAAAAAATGTTAATAACAAAATTTGTTTTTGACTTTTCATTCTCTTTAGCGCTCATCCTCTGAAATCTACCTTGAAAATTAGGAGTATTTGCACTATTTTCTCTTTCAAGTGCAATCTTTAAGTATTTTTTTGCAACTACAAATTGCAATTAGCGATTGAGTGGGTTAGTGGGTGGGTTAGTTCTGGCTAAGCGTGAAAAAGGTGTTAATTGGAAGTGTCTCTCGAATGATGTAATTAATGTCTGCGAGTTTGTTGAACTAAAGTGTTAAAGTGTGTATTTAGTAATTACCGAATGTATATTAGATAAATGAGTGCTAATTAGTGATATACACATATCTCGATCTATACTAATTGTTGAATCATAGTGATAAATTTAAAAGCTGCAATTCATTTTTATTTATAAATAGATATTTTAATCCTACGCTCAATAATATAAGATTAACATGTAAATACATTTTAATATATTTATTAATTTATTTTATTTCTGATACGGATTTGTTGACAGTTGTGACTAATTAAAATTTATTACGTTAATTTTATAAGCAACCCAATAATCTTTAGTGCGATTAAAATAATCGGTTATATTAAAATTCTATACCATAGATATTATAGACTTATAACATGTTCATGGTAACATTTAAATTGGGTATATACACTTAATGAAAAATGTTCTGGTCTTGTTTTTTCATAAATTTTGTTTTGTTTTTTCATAATATTCCACAGTCCCCAATGCATACATTAAAATAATAGGCGACTTTTTGTTTTTGTTTTTATTATAGCAGCTTTTCTTTGTGTTGTTCTGGTTCTGTTTCTCTGTGTCTATCTCTCGCCTTCACACACACAAGCCCATAGAGAATTCTCAATTTGGAGCCGGCTTTTTTTATATTTATTTGTTTATGTGCTTGCCTTCCCGCTTGCTTTTGCTTGCGTTGTCTTCAAAATTAATGCCTTACCTATGTATGTATGTGTGAGCGTGTCGCTGTCTCTCTTCTCTTCAAACATGCATTCGTGTGCGCTCCAAGTCTGGTTTTGAGCACTCTCTGAGAGCGCCACACAGCGACAAAAATATGTACATATGCAAACACAGTGAATTGATTTAAGCGTCGATTAACGCACACAGTCACTCACACACACGAATAGAGACAGAGACACAGAGCGAAAGCCGAAACATACGATATGGATATGGGGCAGCGGCACTGGCGGTGCGAGCAGCGACAGCGACCGCAGCAGAGGCTTGGCACTGAGTGCACGGTCAGCCAGCTAGGCAGCCAGCCAGCGCGCTCAGTGAAAAATTTCGTGTCGTCTCGTCGCTGCGTGTTTTCATTAATCAGTAGCACTAAAATGGTGCGCAAGTCCGGTAGAGTTAAAATTCCTACTAGTCGCGACGTTGGCAGTATTCTGTTGCGCGGCAGCAAGGGGGGTGCCAGTGGTGGGCGTGTTAACGATGAGGAGGCAATGGTCAGGCGACAGCACCAAAGGCAACGGCGACATATACGACGGGACAGCAGCGCCAGCAATTCAGCCTCAAGTGATGGTGTGTGTTCATGTGTGTGTGTGTGTGCCTGCGTGTATGTGTGTTTTCTTTTTGCTATTTGTGTTATTGCGCGATTTGTTGCCATTTTAATTTATAGTATTTACCTTGTGTCTGTTTTTCTGGTACACACTTATATAAAAATGTTTGCTTTATAAATATTTTTGAGTAGCTTAAAAAGTCTAAGATCAGTTCCCTTCAAACTGCGCAATTCGAATACTGCATTTTGCGCATGCAATGAAAGTGAAGCTCTAACAAACTGTGAAAAATAATTTGTGGTCTATCCAAACTCTAAGCGTTGTTGTTCAACTGCGTGTACATACCTGCATATTGGTCAGTGCTTGTCCAACTGCTATTTTTGTGCTGCAATATTGTTATTTTAATATTTGGTATACAGCATTACAACACTAAATATAAATATGTACATACATAGGTATGAGTATACGCATGTATATACAAATGTTTTCATATTTGTTTTTTTTTTTGAGCGACAGATATTTGACCAGTGCTTTTAAAACTACACATACGCTTATTGCATTTGTTTATTTGTATTTGTGATGTTTAAGCTGTAAGCTGTTAAACATTTATTTATTTAAACTATTTATTTATTTGGTGCGGTTTTTTATAATTTTACCTGCTTTCTCTCCTGTACAGAATCGGCGGAAAGTCAACTAATGCATGCGGAGGCGCTGCCTGTGGGTCATCCCGCTGGCTCGCCGATTGGCAATGCCCTCAGTCCCAATGGCGTTGGGCTCGGCCTTAGCAACAGCAGCAATCAGAGCAGCGAGAATTTTACGCTCTGCAATGGCAACAGCAACGCCAGCAACAACAACAATAACAACAACATGTACTCACCTAACAATAACAACAACAACAATGGCAGCAACAGCCAACAGCAGCAGCAGCAACAACAGCAACAACAGCAGCAGCAACAGCAGCAACAACAACAACAGCAGCAGCAGCAGCAACAACAACAACAACAACAACAGCAATCGCCCACAGTATGCGCAATTTGTGGGGATCGGGCAACGGGCAAGCATTATGGCGCCTCCAGCTGCGACGGCTGCAAAGGCTTCTTCAGGCGCAGCGTGCGCAAAAATCATCAGTATACTTGCAGGTGAGTGTAGCTACAAGACATCCTCAATGAAGCCATCTATAAGTCTGCCCCCACACAGATTCTCGCGCAACTGCGTCGTGGACAAGGATAAGCGCAATCAATGTCGCTATTGTCGTCTGCGCAAATGTTTCAAGGCGGGCATGAAAAAGGAGGCGGTTCAAAATGAACGCGATCGGATTAGCTGCCGACGCACCTCCAACGATGATCCCGATCCGGGCAATGGTTTATCTGTTGTCTCGCTGGTCAAAGCGGAGAATGAATCACGCCAGTCGAAGGCTGGAGCCGCCATGGAGCCCAACATAAATGAGGATCTCTCGACGAAACAATTTGCCAGCATCAACGATGTGTGCGAGTCCATGAAACAGCAGCTGCTCACCCTAGTCGAGTGGGCCAAACAGATACCGGCCTTCAATGAACTTCAGCTGGACGATCAGGTGGCGCTGCTGCGCGCCCATGCGGGTGAACATTTGCTGTTGGGCCTCTCGCGTCGCTCCATGCATCTGAAGGATGTGCTGCTGCTCAGCAATAACTGTGTCATCACCAGGCATTGTCCAGGTAAGACAAAACCCAATAAGCTTGTTCGTTTCCCTAGCTTATTCTCTCTCTCTCTCTCCCTCTCTTATCTACCTCCAATCGCAGATCCACATGTCTCGCCCAATTTGGATATATCGCGTATTGGAGCGCGCATCATTGATGAACTGGTGGTTGTTATGAAGGATGTTGGCATCGATGATACCGAATTTGCCTGCATTAAGGCATTGGTCTTCTTTGATCCCAGTAAGTGGAGTTTTTAAGTATATTAACAGCTGCCAGATCAACAGATTTCCATAAAGAGACCGAAGTTTTGCATTCATATTACGACTGTAGACTGAATTTCTCGAAACCGGTTAAACGCGACTGAGTTTTTTGCATAGATCTCAACAACGTTCGAATAATAAACTTAGGCTTTTTTGGGTCATCTTCTGATAGCGGCAATGGACTTTCAAAAATCGGTTAAACATTAATTTTTTTCACTTTCGCTTATTTTCTATTCTTAAAGGGGGATTTTACGAAACCCAGTCTTTAATTTTACAATATGAACATCTATCAGACAGACAATCAAACTTAACTAATTTGCTTGCTTAATTGTAGATGCCAAGGGCCTCAATGAGCCGCATCGCATCAAATCCTTGCGCCATCAGATACTCAACAATCTGGAGGATTACATTTCAGACCGACAATATGAGTCGCGTGGTCGCTTTGGCGAGATCCTGCTCATCCTGCCGGTGCTGCAGTCGATTACCTGGCAGATGATCGAACAAATACAATTTGCCAAAATCTTTGGTGTGGCGCACATCGACTCGCTGCTGCAGGAGATGCTGCTGGGTGGTAAGTGGAAGCCATAATCAAATTACAACGGTTGATTAAATATATTCTTGACTGCCAACAGGTGAGCTGGCGGACAATTCGCTGCCGCTGTCGCCGCCCAATCAGTCCAACGACTACCAAAGTCCTACGCATGTCGGCAATCTGGATGGCAGCCAGGTGAGCTCCACACTGGACACTTTGGCCACAGCCAGCAGTGGCTCGCATGGCCTGGATCTGGACGTGCAGCATATACAGGCGCTCATCGAAGCCAACAATGCGGAGGATACATTCCGCGCCTATGCGGCCAGCAACGCGGCAACGGCTGCCGCTGCCGTTGCTGCTGCCACGCCCTCGGCTGCAGTAACGCCCCCATTAAGCAGCGCCGCCTGCAGTCCCAAGTCACAGGAGAACGTCTACATGGATGCAACGGCGGCCCGTCAATACAATGTGCAGCACAAGAGTCAGCTAATGCACAGTCCGCAGAGAGTGCATCCCTACCAAAGAGTGGCCTCATCGCCGGTCGATGCCGGCCTGGGCATGCGCAATCCGGCTGATATAACGCTTAACGAATACAATCGCAGCGAGGGCAGCAGCGCTGACGAGATGTTGCGTCGCACGCCCCTTAAAATACGCGCGCCGGAACTGCTGACGCCCACCTATGTGATGGGTGTGTAGCCCTAAATCCAAATATATACAATATCTGCAACTAATCTGTGTCTATTCTCATTTTCAGAGCCATGTCGCATGACGCTCAAACAGGAGCCCGAAACGGGCTATTAACTGGTGCAATAATCTTAGATACACACATACACTACTCTACTATCCTACCCTACTGTCTCCTCCCCATCACACCTCTACAGGCCCCGTCTTGCTAGCTGCTAAGTGCTAAAAAAATCAAAACACAAAAACTTACTTAATTGTTATTGCCTTGAACTTTTTGATACCGTTTTTATTAGACTTTAAGTAGGTATTTTGGAAATTGTTGCTTAATTTGTAAAACACGCAATTGCAATCTATTTTTATATTTTCTTATGATTTTTTTTGAGCTGAAATGAAAAAGAAAATCAAGTCAAAGGATTTGCTCTAAAGTTTATACTAAACATAGCACGTACTGTTGTCAGTTTGTTGGTTATCTTTATTATACATATTATGCAGATATATGTATATATATGCAATACTTTGTTTTAGGTTAGGGTGTTGTTTAGTAGTATAAAATATATAAGTACGTTTAAACGATAGTTGATGAAAAATTGAAGAACTATTTTTATATGAATATATATACTGTATGTATAAAATACAAAATAATTTAAAGTGGCTGAGTGAATAAAAAAAACAAGAGAAAACAAGTATTGTACACAAATTTTAAAAACTATCGTTTTTATGTGATTAAACTATTAATTTTATACTTTGGTTTATATGAGATAACATTTTCTCTTTATAACGAAATGTTGATTACACTTGTTTGAATCACGAAACAGTCGCGCGCAAGTTACCGCAATTAACATTTATTAATATATCGAAATAAGAACTGTTCATTTATCGATATTAATCTAAATCTTAACATTTAAAGAGAGGAGCAAACAAGTAACATATCGATATAAAGTTCGACTATCGATGATTTGACACAGAACTCTCAGCTGACGAACAGCCCAGCACTATTATTTAATGTCATTTCATTTTTCGTTGTGCGCAATAAAGTGGGCTGCTAGCAGACAAGAAAAGCAAATAATATCTGCTAAAGCAGAAACAGAAGCTTGTAAAAATTGCTAAAACTTGTAAATTTTGTTAACAATTTATAACTCCTTATAAAATACAAAAATAATCTACAAAATACATAGTGCAAAAGGCAAAGGCTAGACAAAATAGCGAATCAAATATGTTTGGCCATAAATTCATAATATGCACCGCATTGCTCCTGTTGAGCAGCTCTGGTGAGTAAACCTAAAACTAACCCCCAGTCCGCGTGACGCCCGCGAAAACCTGTGCAACTCTTTGTTCAATTTACTTTTTGCTTGTTCATCGCAATTTAATTTCTATTTTGTTTTTTTTTTCGCCTATTGGTGTCTCTCTTGCACGCACGTAACCCGTTCGTCGGGCTGATGTTAGCTGTTTTTGTGGTTTTATATACAAGGGCTGATGAAAAACAACATAACTAAATCGCATGTAGAATAATTAATACTTATTAAGCGTATATATGTGGTTTTGTGTATGTATATGCGTTTGTGTATTTTGCAGCGCATCGACATTTATCTGGTTTTAGTGTGACACTCTTTTTTCTTGCGGTTTGTGCAGTGTAGGACAAAGTGCTAAAGTAAAATCTAACAAGATGGTGGCTTAGTACCGCTGCAACAAAGGCGAGCACAAAGGCAAAAGCAAATTGCAGCCAGAGCGCTGCTACAGCTTGTCTCCACTTTATGCACACACACACACATATTTGCTGATGCATATGTTTGCTTGTATTGTATGCTGCGCTTATCTAACCCAACAAGAACAACTAGAACGTCGGTGGGTCCGTTCTACCTGCATAGAGTATGAGAAACGCAAATGGCAGATAAAGCAATTTGATTTGAAGAAAGGTCTTAGCTCTGTCTGCCGCCAGCAGCAATATCCACCCGCCCCGCATTGCCCCGCCGCATTACACACATCTACACTAACATGCAGGCATATTCAATTTCTCACTTCTGTCTGGCTCTCTGTCCGCTGTGCTCTGTGCCTACACTTTGCCGTCTTCTTTTGTGCCAGGCATCAACTATTTAATTATATTTGATTCACAACAGCGTTTAAATTGTTATTTATTTAACTTACTCGTTTGCCCGAGGCGCAACCGCCCCTCTAGATATCCCCCTTATCAGTTTGCCATATGCAGGCATATTTGTGATATCATGTAGCAGACGGACTTTGGTAATCCCCTCCAGCTAATTGTTGATTGTTTATAGAACTGAGCACAGTTGATGATCTGTCATTATTTTTCTACCCTACCCATTGAAAACGCTTAAATGGGGTATATAGTTTTTTATTTTCTTTTAGATTCAAACTGATTTCTGAATAATTATCCTTAAAGAAAGTTATCCTAATAAACCAAAAAAAAAATGTTTTCCATGTATTACATTTAAAATTTAGCGGCTTATTAAGACCAATTTGATTTCCAAATGGCAGCAGAATTAAATAATCTAATTTTTATTAATTTTTGTTGAACCCTTTCGAACCGACTCGAACTGTGCTCTGTGCATATATAATATACCATTAAATCGCTTCACTAGCTTTGCCTCTTAATTTATAGTACTGAGTGTGTATTTGTATTGTTCGTATCAGTTTAGTCTATATTGTATTTATATTTCAATTCTCTACGACTAAACTAACTCTTCGTATTTGCATTCCGCAAACAAAGACGCAGAAAGTGGCCCATTATTGTAGATTATATATATAAATATTTGTATATTCAAGTATTTAGTTTCAACTGCGGACAAATCAAAATACATTTGTTTCATACGACGCGAATTTCGCAGATAAGATTTGTCACGCATACTTGAATATTTACTCGAACACAGTTGCCAATACTAGTTGCATTGCAAAAAATGATCGATTAGGGTGTAAATGGATGCATATATATATTTTCGTTAAACCACAAAATGGAATGAACTAACCGGGGTAGATATATAACTAGGGTAGATAGAAAATATAAAGTCATATAAAATAATAAAGGTATATATTGCTTCAGATTATGTGTTCTAAGTGATTTTAACTACTAAAGATCATTAAGTTTAGTAATAAAATGTCTAAATGATTTCAAAAAATCCATTGCTAAAGATGTTTATTCTAAGTACAAAATTATCAAGCTAACTTTAATACTATTAACCTAAGATTATATATATTTATTTCCTATCGTAAGCCTGTCGGTCTGTCTGTTTCTATTCCAAATTCTTTTCGTTTTGGAACTATCTTGAAGAAACGTGGAATGTATCCAATTGCCATTAGAATAATTAATTTACTTTTCTGTGCTCAGTTTAGTAAATTGCCTTAGCTAAGTTAACTTTTTCATTTTGCTGCACTTTTCCATAAAAATGTTGCACAGTGGGAGTAAAAGCTTGAAGAAAAATAGAAGAGGAATTTCTTTTCAACTTTAATTAGAGGCTCGTCTTACACACAGTACTCTCGCATGCCCATGGCCAATAAATCTTATTAGCTGGTGCAGTTTCCCGGAATTTTCCAGTGACGCCTGAAAATTGAATGGCCTGTCTGTCTGTCTGTCTGTCTGACGGCCGCATTTGTTTCGCTGGGCTTGTCTGGTTATTTGCTGTTTGCTGCCGCTTAACTTGCATTTAAAGGTCATCTCTGGGCCGTGTTGAAGTGGCATTGAACTAGAACGCTGGGCACGGACAGGCGGATCGGGGCGTGACCGCAACCAGCTGAAATGTATCTGTGAGTGGCTGAGTGAATGTGTGTGTGTGTGTGTGTGTGTGTGTGTGTATGTGTATGGGGGGAGAGTGTCTAGGGAGAGGGCAAATAAGTACCCATGCCTTGCCTAGAAGAACAAACACAAAGTGTTTATAATATATTTAAGCCGCGTTGAGTCATTAACAAGCTGGCAAAAGGCAACAATATTTAAAGCGAAATTTGTTGTTGACGATTTGTGCAAAATGTAACTTTATTGATAAAAACTGTGCAATGGCAACAAACAAAACATTTTCAGCCTGTTTTACTCTGCTCAAATAGAGAAGACGACTATATTCCTACAGTCACAAACCCAATAATCAAGAATACCCTTCGGCTGATTTAACCGTCTATCAAAGTGTGTACAGAGTATGGCTCAGTCGTTCGCTCCCGACAGCTGCATTATATTTGAGCGCTACTGGGGCGATTTCAGTAGAGTTTTATCGCTAGGAATGCGGCAATCAGTTGGATTTGTCCTTGGAAATTCATGTACTGCCCTTTTTTTCTGGAAAAGGGGCGTGGGAAGGAGTACAAAGGTCGAGTTGTAACCCTTTTTCTCCATTGGACAATAATCGCATTAACTTAATTTATGTCATTTGATGCCACCTTCGCACCCTCCCGCGGATCCCCTTGCCCCTCATCATTGGTCAACGCAACGTTTTCTGGTTATTTGGTTATCAGTTGTCGACTGTGCAAATATTTATATTATTCATCATTATGACTCAGGCAGCGCTCACAGCTGGGGCAGGCAGCCCGAAAGCCAAGAGGACTGATACAATATAATGAAATACAAAGCGCAAGCGAAATAATGTTATTCATTGCAACATGATAATTATATTAAAGTTGACGAATCTGTATGAATTGGACGGACGGATAGAAAGCGCAGTTAGCTTTGTTTTCCATTTTGTTCAAAGCATATAAATGGATATGTGTGTGTGTTTTAATTTAATTATACGTTTGTATATTTCCATAGTTATTAGCAGATATCGTGTTTGAGCTTATATGCAAATATACTTTGGCATAAAAAATAGGGGGGAATATATATATTATAAGATAAATATATTTCTATATACGTATGTATATAGACAAACCTTTTAAACTAGAGAGCTTTGTGTATGTTCGTATTTTGGATCCTTTTTGAATATCATTGACACATTGTTAATAGTATCTCTCACATATAAAATGAACATAATACGATAGGAAATAATCCTCTAGGTTGGTGATCGTGAAAGTGAAAATAGTACAACTTAAGTTAGAAGTCATTAATTACATTATCACACTCTCTAATTTTAGTTCCTTTATTCTTAGTAAAGCCTCTTTCAAAAGCTACTAAAACAATATTTCGTACAACTACGAAGACTTCTTCGACTCCCTGAAGAGCATAATGAAAAGAAGCTTCAAAGTAATTAAATTATAATTTATATGCTCGTAAAACGGTTCAATAATGCTTTAAAAAAGGTTATAATAGAAAGAATGTTAAGAGCGTGAAGGTTTAATATTCATTCTAACCTGGCGAAGTACATATTTACACAAAGATAAGAGTTGTTAAGAGACTGTTAAACTATAAACAGCTTTAAAACGCGCCTATTGTTTCCTTCTTACAGCTTTCTCGCAGCTTTTAAGCCTTAAATCGGCAGAATTTCCCGAGGTGAAAGATCCACTTCAATCGAGCGATTCGACTTCCTCAACCCCTGCTGCGATCAGCAGCACGACTACCAAGCCTAAGCCAACCAGCTCGAGCACTTCAACAACAACAACCACCACAACCACTACAACAACAACAACCACTGTGGCACCAACAACCAGCACAGAGGCACCGGTAACCACCACACCTGCTCCAGTGCCGACCACCACGCATAAGCCACAACCGTATCCAGCACCAACTGTGGGCTCATGGAACTGCTCTTGCATTATGCTCAACATGGCAGCTCAGCTGAACTTCACCTATGAGACCAAGAGTGAGTCCTGGTTTAAGGCTGTCAAAGTATCGAATATTAACTTCTTTTGTTTCTCTAACACATCGCAGGCGGCAACATGACCAGTGGATTGTACAATGTGCCCAGCAACGCTTCTGTGGATCATTGTTTTTGCGACAGCCAGACCACGCAGTCCATGCAGCTTAGCTGGAATTCCAGCATCTCACCAGAATCGTTGGTCCTCCAACTGGAGAGCAAGAACAAATCCATTGCACTCACCATGATCAAAGTCAGCATGATGGTGCCTACAGAGGACTTCCCTGATGCTAAGGGTAAGTGGTTATAGTATGGACCGTTTTTTACACGTTCTTGGCAAATTGTTGGCAGTTGTGACAAAGTTGATGAGTTACCAATGCCTGTCGAAAAGTGGTCAGACTGTCTCAAAATTGTGCGGCAAATTGGCACTTAAAGAGCGGTGCAGGAAATATAAAACCAGCTAGTTCTAGATCTTTTCAGGCAAACAACCTGATGTAAACACAGTAGAGTAGAATGCATTTCTTAGTTATGATAATTGATATGCACATATTTAACAAGCTTTTACAAGTAGATGGATGCATCTCTGATATAAAGTTTGTGCCAAGTCAAGTCCGTCTGTCTAAACGCATCGATTACCAAGCTAGTTTAAAGATTTTTGTTCATTTGTCTGATAACGCCCTTATTTGATATGATGTCTCGTATACACATAACAAGATGTCTTGGACGTTGCAAACTCCCTACAAATACGTAAAAAGGGAACTTACCAGGCAAATCTAAGTAGTTGCCACCTCCGCCGAGCAGGATCTTTTAACATGAGCATGAGAAAACGAAATTGAGTAAAACTGCATTTTAAACTGTGTGATAAATTGACCAAGAGTGTGCTCTAAACGGTCCCAAGAGGTTTATTCATATTGTTAAATATTATTATCGTAATTTCGCTATGTAGAGAATCAGACCGTTCAGTTGATCCACAACAGCCCGAACACGGACTTCAAGACGCCCGAGAAGATGTCTTACCACTGCACACGCGTCCAGATGTTTAACATGTCGGAGACAATCAGCAACAATGTGACCATTGGCACCCTCAGCGTCAGCCATGTGCAGGTGGAGGCGTTCCGTAGTGCAAATGCCACTGGGTTCTCCACGGTGCACGACTGCGACAGCTCGGAGAACTCCGATGTGGTGCCCATTGCCGTAGGCATTGCCCTGGCCGCCTTGATTCTGGTCGTGCTCATATCGTATCTATGTGCGCGTCGTCGCTCCATTTCGCGTGGCTACGTGAGCTTCTAAGCAAAAAGAGGGCAAGGAAAGCTACAGAGCGAGAAGGCAGAGAGGGAGAGGGGAAGAGAGAGAGAGAGAGAGCGAAAGCATATTGTGCAGATAGGAACGGAATATAGGAATGTCCAGGCAGTTGGCTGTAGTATGCGGGAGTGATTTAGTGCGTTGTAATCTGAGAGAGTTGTAAGATTGATTTTGTAATTGGCAGGCACTGTACGAAAGAGAGAAGGAAATTAGACACTTGTTGTGTAACATACATATATAATTTGTAAACGGTCCTTATAACTAATTGGTTTTGTTTTGTTTCTCGTCCAAATTGATTACGCGCGCATAGCTGAGAGCAAAAGTTAAATGAAAAATATCAAGCAATTGAAAATCTGTCTGTATGTGTGAACGTGGCATTCTTATACTTATCTTACTTTACTATCCAAATATCAAATGGAATCGTTTTTTATCACATTTGCGACACAAACAATTTAATTCACAATACGCATATTTAAAAAGAAAATACATTTTATGAACGTGTCAACGGTGAAAGCGAGCGAACAGAAAAATATACGACCCTGAGGCAGGTAACGGTTATTACGTAAATGACAACAACAGCAACAAACGAGAGGATAGTAGCATTTTAAATAAAAATATATATTGATTTTAAATTGTAAACAGTAAATTAGTAAACAGCAACAAATTATGTATTATTTGCCACTTTTTGCGTAATAAACGATAAACCAAAATAGTTTCTAATTGGACGACCATTAACCAAGCAGTGTACAAACTCAACTGTGTTTCCAATTGGAGTGTGCTCAAACTGTACGTATGAAAAACTGCTTGCGACGGGCAGTTGAACTGCTTGCACGTTAACGTGCCCCAATTTATAAATTGAGTCGTCGTTCGCAACGAATAATTATTGAAAACTATATTATTTATAAAACATTAATATTTGGAAAATTAACAATAATTACAATCATTCCCAATAGTTTTAAGTGCCGAGCGGCTGTTGTATTTAAGAGATCTTTCACTTCATTTATCACTTAGTTTGTATTTACTGTTCATACAATTGGAACATTATTAAATGGGCAATAAGCTGTCGGCATTCATTTCCGCATCGTCATCGGAGTCGTTGCTCTGCTGTGCACGATGCATGCCGGTGCGAGGACGTTCGGCCGGTGGGCCCAGAGGATCCACATACTGTTTGACTAGGAAAACGGATGAAATACGGATCTGCATGAGCTTTAGGTTGCAGCTTACCCGAGTAGGAGTTGCCGTTTTGCAGGAACTGATCGCCATTGTAGCCCGCCCGTGAGTTGGAAACGAGTGTTGCAGAGATATCGCTGTTCTCCTGTAGACGCTCCTCGTTCGATGGACGCACTGCTGCGGACGAGGAGGAAGATGTGATCAGCTTCAGCCATTTTTGATTTACGGATTACTCACTTTTCAAACGACTGCTGCCCCTGCCGGAGGTGGCCGAGGAGAGGCGCTGCTGCTGATAGAGCTGTTCGTTCTGTCGTTCCTGCTGCTGCTTGTGCAGTCTGGCATACTCCTGGCCATAGCGTTCGTGCAGCTCGCTCATGCCCAGCGATTTGGTCACCTGCATCAGGGCGCGCACACAGGTCAGGTTGTCCGGAAAGCGGGCATATATCTTCTCGAACATGCCCAGATATTGCTTTGGCGGCAGATACGAGTTGCGAAAGCAGCTGGCAATGCGCAGCATCAGATTCGGATCATTGGGATCCGCCAGCACCGCCCGCTCATAGTAATACAGCGCCTTCTCCGTGGCCTGCAGCTTGATGTAGTAGGAGCCAATGGAGCTGGCAATGCTGATGTCGCTCATGTTGATGCGATAGGCCTCGTTATAGTACTGATTGGCCTCCTGATGATCCTGTCGCTGCTCGTACATGCTGCCCACCTTCTCGAACAGGCGCGAGTCGATGTCGGCGGCCGAGATGCCCAGCACCTGCAGATAGGCCTGGAGTGCGCCCGGCGAGGCGCTGGACTTGAAGCCGCCGGCAGAGGCGTTGCTCAGACGCCGCTCCTGCAGCTTGGCCAGCTGGTAATAGACATGGCTGTGCTGCACCGAATGCGGCTGCATGAGCTGCGCCTTCAGCAGCTCGAACTGCTCCTCGGCCAGCTCGAAATCCTGCTGCTGCAGCGCCAGCAGACCTAAATTGTAGTTGGCCTCAAAGCTTTCGGGGTCCAACTGTAAGGCACGCTGCAATCGCTCCTTAGCTGAGCTCAGATTCTGACTCCGCATATCCACAATGCTGGCATTGACCAGCGCCAAGACGCTCGTCTGCAGTGCTCCCAGCTCCTGCAGCTGGTTGAGGCAGTGTGTGGCCATCTCCAGGTTGCCCAGCTGCAAGTTATCGCCAAGTCAAACAGTTAAGGATTACAGGAGGAGCAGGAGCAGGAGGAGGGTTCCGGACTCACATTGATGTAGATGAAGCTGAGATTGGTCAGCGCACTGGCCGTCATGGAGCTCTCGCTTTTGCGGTCGTACATTTGCAGCGTTTCGATTGCCTGGTTGACATCGTTCTGGCGCAGATAGACGAGCGCCTTGTTCAGCTCCAGCTCGTTGGCCAGCCAGGACAGATTCGATGTCCGTATCACCTCAATGCACCAGTTGTAGCCTGTGTGTGGACCAATGTAAATATAAATGGATACTAGACTAGAATAATACATTTTCTTTTTCTTAGATTCCTCTAACTTCGCTTTAGTCTTGCTGCCTGCGAGAGTCCGAGCCCAATTCGTAGGTATATAGATAAGTTAAAGCTCTGCAAATTTTAACTCCTATCGAAATTTACTTCTATCTTAAGTTTGGACAAAGATGACGGCCCTGTCAAATATCATAAGAGGAATGGAAGACTTTCAAGGATGATAATGTTCTAGAGGATACCCAACAAAGCAAGCTCAGAAATTGCAAAAGTAAGATCAATTTTAAACCTAATTTTGTTTAATTCAGGGAATGTTCTCTTAGATCCTTAAGTCTTAGCCTTATATCTTATATCAAGTTTGCTTTAGATTATTTTCGTATTCGCATAGTCAGCACTCCCTAGACTCCCCATTAACATAGTTTACCCGCCGTTAGACCACAAACTCACCATCATTGTAGTTCTCCTCGATCAGCGGGGATATCAGATCGACAATCATTGTAATGGAACGCTTCTCCGTGTTGCGCCTTTGCTTTGTATAAATGGCCAGCTCGTCAGTTTTGAGGGCCTGCAGGACGTAGCGATTTTTGGCATTCGCAGAGCTCTTGTTGGGCTCGGTCACCTGCTCGTAGGAGCTGTTGCCCTCTGCATCGATAATGGCCACCTCGGCTGCCTGGTTGCCGGCAGCTGGCACCTGATCCGCGCCCGTTTGTCCGGCCTGTTCCGCCTGCTGCTGCAAGCGTATTATATTATTCTCGTTCTCCAAGTCGCGCTCGGTTTCGACGGGCTGCACATCGCACAGGCTGCGGAAGGTGCTCTTGATTTTCTCCACATCGCCCATGGCATAGTAGCAGAGCAGCAGGTGGATGCCGCTGCGAATGTCCGCGCGTTCTGACATGATAAACTCAAAACTGGACGCAGCATCCGCATACTGGCCCATCCGCACAAATAATACTCCAATATTCTCGGTGATTTTCAAGCGCAACTGCTTCAGCGTGCTCGGCACCGAATCCAGTGCCATGCGATACATTTTGATGGCCTTTTTGTGCATCCCCATCTTGAAGTAGATGTTGCCCATGTTTAACTTCAGTTGATTCACATGCGGAAACATTTTGTTCTTGGTCATGATGTTGTACGTGTTCAGGGCCTCGATGTGCATGTCATTGTGCTCGTATTGCTCGGCCAGATTGAAGAATACCTTAAAGAAATTTAGCTTAGAGACCTGGTAGAAAAAATACCTCGCACTCTATAATATTTAGCATTCCGAAGCAAGCAGTGGAACCTATAAGCCGCATTCATGAAAATTGCATAGAAGGGCAGTAATTTTTTAAATGCCAAGAATTTTCTTTTCAAATCAACCAGACAACAGAACGCTAACATCAGGAACTATTTATGTTATATTTAAATGCTCATTCTTAAAAAGTTCGTACCTCCGAGTAGAAATTCTAAGGCTTATCTAAAACCTGAACATCATTTTTAGAAATAGTTCTCTTCCCTTTGCATGCCTAAAGAATATTCTAAAAATTTTAGAACGATCTGATCAGAAAAGTTTCTCCCTTTAACCTTTGCATATATCAAAGTAGCTAGAGGCTGGCTTTCTTGAACTTCTTGAACTCTTACCGCATAGGTCAAGTCAAAGTTGTGAAAAACATTTTCGCCCTGTTTATCCTGTTCATGATGCAGTATGCGATCCAACGAAGATGCATCCTTTGCCTTGTTCAGAGCCTCGGCCAGCGCGGACTTCACTTCCGTAACGGACGAACCATTTGTGCGATTCGCGGAACTGCGCGCCGCCAGCACGATTGAGGACTCCAAAAGTTTGACGATTTTGACCTCCATATTCTTGTACTTGATCTGGGGACTATTTGAAAATAATTGTAAAGGATTTGGAAAGCAGTTAAGGTCGGATCTACGCACTTAACCTCCTTGGCCGCGTCGACGGCGGCATTGGCCGAGGACAGCGTCTGCTGTTTGACCTTCTCCAGAAAGAATTGATCGAACCGCTGACCCGCCGAGCCGCTCGTGCTGGCCGCATAGCCCACGGCCCGCACCGCTGTCGAGGGTCTGGCCAGCGCCGTCTTGTCGCCGCCCGTGCGACTGCTAACCAGATTGCCCCGCTGAAAACCCGCAAACAAATCTCCCTGAAATCTCCGCTCTTAATCAATTTTGCATCTGTTTTGCACCTACCGAAAAGAGCTGCGAGGTGGGCGGCCTGCCAGCGGCTGTGGGGGGCGGCGGCGGTGCCGTTGCGATCTCCATCGTGCTGGCAGCTCTTTTGTCTTCCGCTTGCGTATCACTCATGCTCTATTGCGACTTTCTTGTTATTATTAATTTTCGTGTGGAATTTACATAACAAAATTCTACGAAAATAACATTTGTTATGATTAGTCGTTGCCTAGGCAATTGGCCTGCCGGTTTGTTGTGGACATTGCCGTTGCCAAGGACCCACCTGCCAAAGGGTTGCATAAACGATAGGTTTTTACGATGTTTGCTTATTGTGATTGATATATTTTGTTAAATAACAAAGAAAGTATCAACCATTTTTTATTAATTATGAGCCCATATATGCAACATCACTATCCCAAACTGAATTTCGTAAATTTGATTTAGTTAAATCAATTCTTCGAATTCCGAGCGATTCCTTGCATTATTGGGTGCCTCTTCAGAGGAACTCTAAGGAACTCTAATTTAAATTAAAAAATTTGCATTCTTTATTTGACACATTTAGTCAGCATCGCATCGTGGCACAACTAACCATTAAAAACTCGCTGCTGAGCAGAATCTTCCGCCCGCTTGAAGGAGCAAGGTTTTATGCCCGCAGCAAATTAGTAACACAGAAATGCAAGAACGCACAGCCGACGAAATGAACGGCGCTCAGAAAAAAAAGCAAGCAGACGACCGTGAAAGAAATTCGTACACAAGCAATTAATTGTTGGACCAATCAGCGATGAGCAACTCCAAGAATTCGCATGAGCGCACGCACACATATGCATAAGTAGATCACGCTCTCGTGAGAGGGCAACGCCAAATATTGAGAGATTATCTTGAGCATCGCGCTCACACAAATTTTGGCTGTTTGTTGTTGTTCCTTACAATAATTTCTTTCATATGAATTCATCATGCTCTGTTATCTGTGAATCGTTGCATGTTTAATATGCAGATCTCATGAGAAACGCAATATTTTGGGTAAAATTCAGTTTTATAGTTATATGTTAGAATTAGAAGTATGTTAATAACACTCGCTTCTATATACTTTCACGAGTTCAAAAAGGCATGTCTCTCTAATATTATATTTTATTTACCTGAGATATGTTAATTTATGCTAATGCTGCAATTATGCTTCACTTCTTATTTTACTTATTTTATTTGAATATACTCTTATCGTTTCAGATGGAAGAATTCGATATACGTAAGGCTGCAATCTATTCAATAGATTTCCACGGGTCCAAAAGCCATAAGGATCGGAATTCAGCTACCCGAGATATGGCTATATTAAGTTTTGAAAAAAATAAAATAAAATATGGTAGCTGTTAAGGATTTTGTATTTTTCAGCCGAACCCCGATGGTTACCAGATGACAAATATATCCTTGATTTTATCTTATCATTAATATAGTCCTGGTGAACCTAAATAGCCGAATAGTTGCAAAATGCGCAAGAATATGGTCGGAGAATATGCATGATTTTTCTTTCAGCTACCCCTAATAGCTTCGTTCCTTGGTGGATCCTAGTTGACTGCCATATCCTTGGTTATATCATACCATCGATATAGTCCTTTGGAACCTAGAGGACCTGGAATGGTCCAAAAACATATATGCTTTTTCTTGGTTGGCCGAATTTGCCCCTTACGGGTATGCAATGAATTTTTGTTTAAAGATTTTTTAAAGATTTTCGTCTACCAGTTGGGCATTTCTGTTCGCCTGGTATTTTTGCCAAATTTTCGTTCAAATCTAACGCCCCCTTATAGCAGCAGCTGTTAACAGTAGTATGTTAACTAACATATATTTAACAGCGAACTGGTAAATAACAGTTGCTTAACAGTGGACTGTTAAGAAACTTGCAAGTCATCATTTTTGCAAAATAAATTCTGTGCATCTACCTGCTAGGCATTTCTGTTCGCCTGGTATTTCTGTGAAATTTTAGTACAAATCTGGCGACCCAACCGCCGATGACGTCATTTTGTAGTACCTTGCCACCTGGGATAAAAGCCCTTGGAAGTAAAAACACAGCGATTTTCTTTTATATATTTTAAATTATTGATTTATTCTTGTAAACATTTATAAATTTGTTGTTTCTTGAATATAATTTTTTACTTAAAATTTAACATCATCATTTATTTCTTAATTCTGGTTGTATTTGGGGTAAATCGAGTCTGATCCTGGAAAAGATTGCCTAGATGTCCTTAGAATCGATCGCAGTCTTTGAATTCGTCTATCTGAAACGATAAAATCACATTTAAATAAAGGCAAATTAATTCCAGAAAAAAGGACATAACTCCGCCGTATCCTTGCAGATTTTCAAAGGACATGCTGCGTTATGGTCGTGAGGACCAACTGCATCGATCTGCATCAAAACATTATGGGGTCATCTAAGAAACATGGACTTGGTAAAATTTCAGTCGCGGGGCGAACGAAAATGCACTGAAAACACACAATTTCAATAAAAACGCAATATCTCTAAAACTACAAGGACGATCTGGATGTCCTTTGGCCAGTTGATAGCCCTGTTTACAAAATTGTCCTTAATTTTCTGCTGTTTCAAGGACTATTGTCCTTTGGGTTGTATATTCGTTAATGGCAGGTCAAGGACTATCTACAAGCCAAATCCCATCCCGATAGTCCTTCAAATGGCAAAGTTAGTCCGGAATTTTTCGATTTTGGCCGATTTTCTGACTAACCCCCTAGGAGAAATTGAGGTGAAATTTTTTGTCGAATCCTGGAAATCCTTGGATGCCAATCGATAGTCCTGCTCCCCACGAGCTCAAAAATGTATATCGTTACGATATCCTTAAGGATATGACCGAGTTATGGTTATAAATGGGATGTCCTTTTAGTAAAAGTAGCCATATATTGGAAACCACAAGGACGATCTCGATATCCTTTGGCTTCTTGGTAGTCCTGGATCATAAGAGTTGTTTGACACAGGACTCGTCAGGATACGCAAGGTTATGGCTGAATTATAGGCTGTTTTTTTTTATAAACAAATGTCTTATTTTTCTCAGCTCTTTTAAGGACTTTCGTCCTTTTTTTTTTAAATTCTAAATTGGCAGGTTAGGGACTATTGGTTGGCTGAAGGACATCAGGATTGACTTTTAAATGGTGATGTTATGGATGATTTTGTGGTTAATGTCCTTTTAAGAAAAAATAGCCATAACTCGGCCATATCCTTGTGAATTTTCAAAAGTATTAATTGTTTAGGATCTTAAGGACCCACAGCACCGATCTGCATTTAAGAATTAGACAAATTTTAGTCGCGAGCTTGAAGGAGACGATTTCAATGTCCTTTGGATAGTTAATAACTATTCTTTCGAATTGCTTACATTTTCAGCTTGAGAAACGTCTTTACGAGAGTCCTTGAGTGGGCCAAGTTATGGAATTAGGGACATGGGTGAGTTATGGCTACTTTTCTTAAAAGGTCGTTTACCAAATTCACAATATCCTTACTAATTTGCCACAAGAGGGCATCTCTTAAGATTAATATAAAAAAAGAGCCCGAGAAGAGCTTAGCTAATATGTATATCCCTACGTGGTCGGGTTCACCCAATTTGAACAATCTTATTAATAATTATATTACTTACATTCAACATATTGTTTGTTGGATAAATACAACACATAATAGGGAAATAGTGGGCATCAGATGAGACATTGAACCATGGCAGCAGCAGTAGCAGAAGCGTCAGCACAGGATCTCCAACGTAGCTCACAGCTCGTGGCCTCATCTACGCCGCGAGCTGGGTCCTCTTTAGGCCGTGGTGGAATTGTGAATACGCCCAGATAAAGATAGAAGATACCAAAATCTTCCCGAGTGCTGGAACTCAAAAAACATACGGCACGCCAGACAAATCCAAAACGCCAACGTGTAGTCCAAAATCGCCTGAAACTGTAAGATAATTTAATATACTCTAAATGCCCTTTGACTGACGCTCTTACCTTGTATCTCAGCGAGCTGCTTGGTGTGGTGTTAATGCAGGCAAAGCTAAAGATTCCATCCTGTTCGCAGGTTTAAAGGAAGAATTATTGAGTACCCAAGTAGGCGCAGACCTTCGCTATATCCGCGCCGTAGTCCTAGAGTGGAAGAACAGAGAAAAGCGTGAATTATATTTAGAACATAATACGATAAACATTTATATATAAACATAGGGGACCGCTGGAAGCACCTGAATAAAACGAGAACTATATTTTGTAAAGCCAATCAATATTTACCCGAAAAATACCTTTAAACGACTATAACTTGCAATATAAAAACACATCATATTGACCATTGAAGCTAAACTAATAAAGAATGCGAAGCAACTGTGCAAGGCAGACGAAAAAGCGGCGCACAGAAAATTCAGCAAGCAAACGAACGAACACAAGAGGAATTCGTTTTTACAGCATAAGCCCATACACTCATGCATAAATAGATAACGAACAAGCAGACACACCTACAAACAAGTGTAGGCAGACAGAATCGCAAAATATTTATGTATGTACATATGCATATGTATGTGTGCTTGTGCGATATTTACGAATGCATTGACACACAAGGTAGACGAAAAACGGCGCACAGAAAACAGAGAAGGCGAACGATTTGAAGCAGAATTCACTTCTTTGTGCATACACTTACTTGTGTGTGTGTGTGTGTGTGTGTGCATGCCTTCGCGTTATCTACGTGCGATCACACGATATTTTTGTTGCTTAACGCTTATTGGTCCAAGCAAGAATTTCTTTCCTTTTATTCTCATCTACTTGCTCCCATTTCTGAGCGTCGTTTACTTCGTCAGCTCTGCGCTCTCGCAACCTTAATACTGTGTTACTTTGACCCCAGCGGCAACTGCCGCAAAAGAAGATGAGAATGAGTTCTGGGTGTTGCCGGACGTGATTGCGAAGTCATAGATATCGCATCCAAATGTGAGTAAGTACTAAAGCTCAACACTTTGCCTCTAAAAAAAAAAGGATTTTTAATTTTAATTTTTGGGGAATGCGAGAATCTGCATACCAAATTTGGTTACTCTAAGTATTATAAGCTCCGAAATATGTTTTAAAAGCGCATTTTGATATCGATTTTGATAGATTTTGTGCAAACGAACCAATTATAGATGATTCGGAATACACTCAAACTGCGCTGGCAATACAATGACACGTTCGACTTTAAGTCTCTGAAGTGGGAGATGCTTTATACGGCTCAATACCTTTATACCCATTATTTACCCATTTTAATTGGGTTTCGAGTTACATGATATAAAAAGAACTAGTTTAAGTTCTGCTTTATAATATATAACAATAAAATAAATAAAATAATTATATAATATATAATAGTTGGCAAGTTGAGTTAGGGAAATACCTGAAAGCAGGATGTATCCGGCTAGGTCACAGTTTTTTTTTTAAGGCCTGTAAGCGGATTTATATTGTAGTTGCCGCAGTAGCCTTTGAAAACTATGCTCTTCACAAACTCTGTGGCAGGCTCTTCGTTGTTGTCGACATGAATCCCAATTGCCAGACGGACATCAACAGTGCCGAGTGCCAGAGATGGATGAGGGAGGTGTGCGCCCATTGCAGGGAGCTGTTCGCCAGGGAAGCGACCGACAAGTGGGCCGCCTGGTGGCACGATGCGACGCCAGCCTTGTTCAAGGATGTGCCGGAGATGACCGTCTATGACTGCAACAAGCTGAAGCATTTGCTGGAGCTGGAGGTGGCTGCCCTAAAGCCACCAGAGCTACCAATGCAATTTCCAGAGTTCACGTGGTGGCAAAAGGCATTATTGATCTCCGTTTACGTTGGCATTCTTGTGCTGATGCTGCTGATGTGTCGCTATTGGAGAAGGGGCCGTCGTGTCAGGGTGCAGCACATGGACGAGGAGAAGGCAGGTCCGCAGCGGCCGATTAATAAAACGCCTCCAGCATCTGAACAACAGACACAAGCGCCTTCGCCGCCGCCGCCGGCGTCGCATCCGCAGCACGACGACGTACAAAAGACCAACAAATCAAGGCACACCTTTAAGGCCTGGATGCGTCACAGATGCCGTCCAATCTTCGTCCACAACGAGGCTACACTGCGCCGTCAGCAGGCCAAGTACAAGGCGAGCGAGTCTATTAGGGAGGCCCACACTCAGCAGAACATTGAGAAATGGACGAGAGCACGCGAGAAATTCGAAAAGAGGCGCCAGGAAAGCATTAACAGCTTGGATATGGATAGCAAGCGGAAGGACACACAACATTTAGATGAGACTCAACACAAAGTAAGGCCTAATAGTTCTTTAAAAAAAACTAGTATTAAATATTATTTATTATAAATAGCATTTTATTGCAATTTATTTGTGACTTAGTAACTCTGAGATGGACAAGGTGACCCAGAGTCGAAAGAAAAAAGCCCAGCCGAAGATTTGCCCAGATTAGGACATGACAAAGCACGAGATGTTTCAGAACTGGGAAACACATGGACATTACTGATAAACAAACAAACATATATATATATTTATTTGAATTCATTTGAATCGAAATCTGCCTTCAGTTTGTTGAAACCCTCAATTCATACTAGCTAAAAATAAAAATAATCGAATTGAATTCTGATAGCAATTCCATAAATAGATCAAATAAATGTGTTTTCATTTATATTTCTACACGATTAAAAATATCACAGTTATCATCGCAATCATTTGGACGTGACTGTACTTTGCTGAACTTATTTTGCATGCAGCTGGCATCTCTCAACTGCCAAACAGCTGCTTGTCCAGTTCTAGTGTTGTACAACTTTGCAATGATTTAAATGTACTTCCTGTCTAGTGTGCGCAACAGCAACAATCAGTTGGCTACGTCTTTCAAGTTATTATTTGATATATATATTTTTAAAGCGTTTGAGTAAAAGCATTTTTCAATTTTAAAAAGTGTACTCAATTTGCATTTGGAACGAAAGCATGTGTGACAAAATAGTGGCTTTTTGTGGGCAAACAAAAAGTTAACAGTCAAAAATGCAGGTTATGTGTTGGGGACACCGCTTGCGCGGAAGTTATTTACATAAAAAAAATATTTAAGCAAACAAATACCTTTATCCTTTTAAAATACATTTTTAGCATGTCAGTGCGTTCTGTCTCTTCCTGCTGCCTTCGTAATACCCATTGCAAATATGCGAGAAAACGCACCGAAGTGCACCACGTGGTTTCAGTGCCTTTGTATCTAGTACAGCTGTAAAAGTTCAACTGCCTTTTTGTATTCCGGAACATCCGTGCAAATTGTTTTTCGTATTACTTTTTTTAATTTTGTTGAACGGGAAACAATTTGTGCAGATTGCCCGGGGAAAGCAACCTAAAATAAAATCATATACATATATTTAAAACAATAATTGTCTAATAATGAAAGCAGTAAATGGAAATCTTAAAATTATATCTTACCTTTCCAAGTTGATTTCACAGCACTGGGACTCGAGGTACTTGACTCTCAGTATCGTATAACAGGCTCTGTGCTGATGAGGAACTTGGAAAGAAAAAAATATAATTAATTATTTCATTTGCACAAAAATTTAACCAATAAAAGACCATGTACTACTTACTATAAATATTTCGATGTCTGATCAGTTGTGTAGTGTGGCGTTTTACTGACGTGCTACGATACCAACTGGCCAGAAGATCGAGATAGAACACAACAAAATGTAGTTTTAAAACTAAGTTTATGATTAAGTAAACTAAAAACAAGTGATATTAAGTAGGAATAAAGCCTAGCTAATTATAGACAGCATCAAGCATTAATTATTTTCACACGTGTTAAAGCTTGGTGCAGTCTGTAATTAGTTAGGGGTTTAACGATTCCATCATTATGTCTAGCAAAACAAAATATAAATTTGCCAAGTATGCAGCACGTTGATGTTGTTCTCGTTGTCACAACGAATTGCATACATGACATATTTTGTTAATGTGAATTCTGCTTATGAACATAAAATACTAATAGCACTAATACTATGACATTAACAATTAAAACTACTCTTTAAATCAGCTTAGTTCCTGTTGTTTTTAATCACAATTAATATTGCTCACTTAGAATTAGTTTGTTATGCAAAACATGTTTCAGCACTCCAAGACATTGCTAGGCGCGTTAAATGATATATAAGTACATCTAAAAAGTATTTTTGGTTTACAAAAAGTACAAATTTAGCTGCTTAGGCTTATAATACACATATCTAGCCTGGCTTTTGGTTTATATAATTTAATAACAGAATTGTTCTATTTGTCTTTTTTTTTTGTTTTTGTTTTTTGTTGGATTTAATACTAAACTTTCAAAAATGTGCGCACTAAAAACGTTGCTTAGCTTCTTTAAAAATAGTTCACTGTCTTTTGGTTTTGTTAATATAATTACATATACACATATATTAATGATTTGTTTGTAAGGCAAAATTGTAAGTCACTTTTTTGATTGCATACAGCGCCTAATTTATAATGTATATAGATCTTAATTTATATAAATAAATTTATACTTATGGGCTTTAAAGCTGTTGAAATGTATTAAAAAGGATGTTTTTTTTTTTAGGATTTGGTATCAAAATCGTTGCCATATTTAAGCTATTTGTGTCTTTGTAAAGTTTTTAAAAAAGTTTCGTAAACAGTTTAAACAAGCTTGTGCCTGTGCTAGTTGTACATACATATAACATATTGTCTATATGTATATAAGGCTCACTCGTAGTATATAATTGTAATAGTTTATGAGTACCGAGATCAATGCGTGTGCAAGTCTATAAACAAATACATAATTAACAATTCGCAAACATATTTTACTTAACTGAATTATTGGTAACAAACTTTATCAACTAATAACTATGTAATTTTCTTTCTTTCTATTTCAGTGGTCAGACACTTCAATATAAATTATAAAAGCTTATAATATTTTTCGATGTGGAAAATGAAAATAATTGTTGTTACGAGTGCCCTTTGTTGCTCTCTTTTTGGTTATATCCGTTCGTTCTAACAATTGGCAAGCTCTGCTAACGCTGCTTGGTCCAGGTTCTATATACAGTCGCAGGACAGCATAGCTATGTGAGTTTCTTGGCCCATTTCAAATCATCGTCGCGCGGCTTCAGGCCCGTAAAACGTTCTATAATAAACTCAAAGGTTGACCAAAATCTACAATAAAAAGATGCATTATTTATTATATGAATTGGACAACTATTTGCAGCTTCTCGAACCTAAGCTGCTCCAGTGGCCAATTCAGCCAGCCGGTGGTAATGCAAAAGTACGTCTCATGCGGCGCCACATGATGAATGCGATGATGTTTGCGCGGCAGAATAATGTGACAGCTCTGCAGCAACAGCACCCACCTTGGCAGGCCCCAGTACGTGTGCGACCATTTGTGTATCTAAACAGAGAAAAATAGGTTATTCTCAAAAGTTGAAAACCATGTAAGTTGTGCTGCTTATTTAAATATTTCAGTTTAGTTGGTTAATTCTCTAACCGAAAACTAGGCCTAGGGGTTTCTTTTAATGATCACAATTCTGTTAAATTTACAAGTAACATAGTGTTTGTAACATAAATTGATGTAAAATAAATGTTAACTACTTACAGCTGTTAAGCTTAACATACAATAGTTTACATTTCTTAGATAACACCTTTTGAATTGGAAAATAATCTTATTAAACAAATAATCGTACGTCTCTTTCGACAGCATTAGCTCACACCCACCTGATTTGTCATAGCCACAAAGATGGAGCATAGGAATACATAGGCTATCCAGCCGAAATTCTGCTGTATTTCGCACGGTGACTTCACATAAAAATAGTGCGCCAGGTAGCCGAGTATGGGTATGCCCACCATGAAGTTATCGCCATTCGTCTCAATGAAATCGTGACGTGTTATCGACGTCGGATCCAAATGGTGCTCGCGAAAAGGACGCAAAAAGTTCTAGAAATCGATTCCAAATATAAATATTAAGGTCCAGGTGCATTCTACTTCCTACCTTTCCAATTATGGGTAAATCCACCGAGCCCCATGTATCCGCTGCCCAATGCACCAGCCCGGAGGCAAAGTCTGCCGTTATGATGCCACACAAGGCGGAGATGAAGGTCACGCTGATTCGCTCCAAACGCAAGTGCTTCACAATTAGTGCTAAATTGATGATCATCAGGCCGATGCAGGTGTAAACACATATGATTTCCTGTGCACGTTTACCTGCATAAAGTGTTATACTCAAAGATAAGTTATCTGCAAATGCGACTTGGAAATAAAAGAGGTACTATATACTGGATTATCTGTTGTGCTAATTATGACTGTGGCGAAGAGCTGCTAATCAAATTGATATGCAGTTAGTATACCTGATTAAAATTGATTGCAGCTAATCTATTTTTACGATTGAGCGTTTTAGGGTAGACAGAAATAACCCAATAAAATGTTTCTCATAGAAATTATTGACTTTGTACTACCGTCTAAAATATTCCATTGCATTGATAAACAGTTACTTTAATACAACTGTTATATTATATAAACTGTCATACACATATATGCGTTATGTTAACTTGCAGATCAGTTTTTAAATAAACTAATAGGCGATATTTTTACAATTTAATAATTTGTTATAAAACTGTTATACTGTCTCACCTGGACTATAGAGGGATGCCAGCTCCTGTGCACCTTTGTTCTGTGGCCCCCAACGCGGAGCAGTCGCTGCTGCCGCTGGAATTGTGGTTGTTCTTGTTGTGCCCGTCGCTGCTGCCGCTTCATTTGCCGCCGCCGCCGCCGCCGCCTGCCCCTCCTCTTGATCCAATGCTGTGGGCGCTGAATTGCCATTGGGATCATCTTCATACATGGAATTGGCTAGAATTTCCTTATCGCTTTTAGACGTCATCGTCTAGAAAAAAGAAGGATATAAAGAAAACGAATTAGAGCGATTTTGACATGGACATTTACTTCTTAGCGACTGGTCCTGACTGACAGCGTGGCTTTCAAAGTCGCGCCGCTTCCAAGGACCTGGGGAAACTGTCAGCTGCTTCTTGCATTATTTAAAAGTTGGCTGGGAAAGCGCAGCCTGTTAAATATATTTAAATGCTCTTAAATTCGCCGCTGCTGCAGCTCGTGAATTTATAAAAGTCCGACACAGGCGCAAACACAAAGGTGACCAGAAGAGTCAGAGACTCGGCGAACACCCAACCATTGAGCTCTGCACATGTTGATGTCATTTACGTGGCCTGCATTGTCAGGGCACAGCGCACACCACCCTCTCCTGATCCTGCTCCGACTGTATGTCACGCAATATTTTGGAACCTATTCTCGGGCCCGTGGGCGGGAACTGAGTGAGTCGTCAGTTGTTGGGAGGCGCAGTTTAAAGGGACCTTAATTAGGCAAATTGGTATTTAAATTGTTGTGAAGGCTAACTTTGAGGCAGGCATATTTAACGGGTTATATGCATAGCAACATGCTTGTCAGCCTATTTTCCTTCTTATTTATTTCTATGGTCAGTGGAATTTTTTTGTTCCCTTTTCGACATTTTTGAATGACAAATGGATTTCAACACGAAATGCTAGCGTCGTGTATGTATGTATATAAGACAATAAATAATTGGAAATTAGATAATTACTTATAACCATAGATTAAATATTCTTAATAGAAAAAGGCAGCTTACCAGTTTTTGTTCGCTTTGAGCTCGACTCAAGCTAACTTCAAATGCCATTAGCTAGACAGAGTCAACTATATGTGTGCACATGTGTGTGATACATGCGCCATATAAAGGCTGACTGCTACAGGTGTCTGCTGCCCGCGTGTGGATGTGTGTGTGTGTGTGTGTGCGTGTGGTTGCGCGCAAGTGTTGGTACATAAAAGCTTTCTGATTGGCTCGTAGGAAGCATTTCGATTCTGGGATCAACAGCTTAAGGTGCCACTAACTCAACACCCTAGAAGGTACAAATTTGTTTAACGCAATCAATGTCGCAATGTTTTTCCATAATTACAAGTTTTTTTTTTTATATAAGTGCCATGTTGTTAAGTTTTGAGAGCTAGTCAAAGTGTCATTGTTGGGTACTCAATAAACTACTTCAATTAAAAGCGGCTATGAACAAGGTTCTCCACCAAAAAACAGCCTATCAATATGTAAGACATTTAAATAACACTTGAAATATTACAAGTGATAAGAGAAAGCTCGTCATCTCGATAAAAAGGAATTTGGCTAAATTTGCTTTTATCAATATTTAGTGGGCGCGAAACTCATAATTTCAAATTCGTTTGGCCTTAAATATTTATTGTTTTAAGCTACCTAACATACTTGTCTTGTACAAACCTTAAACTTCACTAAAAATGTAACTTTAATTTCCGTAAAATTTTGAAAGTGAGTAAACTTATCCCTCAACTAACCAAGTTTCTTTACAGGCTGTCTATTTTGTAAAATACCTTTCCAATAAACTGACGTAAGAATTATACTTGCGCCTTAATAAAAAAGTGTTCAAACATTTATCTATTACTATGTAAACATTAAGAAAAGTATGAATATGTAAATACATGTGAATAAAATAATGAGTTGGTTTCAACAAGTAAATAGTACCTTTAAATTCTTAAATAATTACTAGTTTTAGGTATTTTTTACTTTTTAGTTAGTTAGTTTTAATAGTAATTGTATGATGTAACAAAAAGTGTCGATCATGCAAAGCTCAAATGTTTCATATTAATTTTATCTTTCAGTCCTATTTATATAAAAGTTAAAGCAGCTGCTAGCCTGCTATCTATATCAGTTCGAGCAGAACTCATGTTGTCATCGTATACCCCACAGTTCCAGGTAATACAATCATAAAAAATAGTGTATGGGGTAGAAACGTGCGTGATCCCCTTAGTACAGAGCCCATTAATTGTAGGATTTCTACACAAGCTGACTATTATTAATGCATTAGCTGAACTCTTCCCCACCTGGAGTTCAGTTAATACCACATGCATACAAATTACTTTAATATTATATAGTGTTATTCTGCCGAAATTCCAGCTTTAACAAGGCCCATTATGTCCATTATTGACAAAACAATTTCTATTTCAATGTGTGTAGAAAAATCAAGAGTAAATAAACAGCGCTAATGATTGTGCTTATAGCAGGAAATGTCAAGCAAATTACACTTATGGAACTGTCCTGTTCGGAAATCGGGGCCGGTTTATTGAAAACGCATTAATTAAAACTGGCAACTGCTATTGATAAAGCACCCATGTTGACCAGAAGTACTACGTAAAAGAAACTGACAGGCAGGCGTGGGCATGGTTGTCAAACCCAGAGGTGAACACCGCCCCCACAAAGGTCATAAAAACAAAACCCATAATCGGATGGCTTGTAACGCCCGACAAGAGGCAAACATTTCCTTTTGACGTGCAAATAAATATAGTAGAAAAAAAAAACGAAAGAAAAACGTTGATTCAAATTTCAAAAATGAATGCGAGACTCTGTCAGGCGGAGTTGCTGGAACGCAGGAGGCCTGAAAGGTGAGCCCAAAATAAAAACGAATATGAACAGGTCGGTAACTAAATGTTAGCGACGGCGTCAACTCCCATGCTCTATAGGATATTCGCTGTTATTTATTGACAGGGTATATTAATTATCAAAGCCATAGATTAGAAAAGAACTGATTAACAGCATTATTAATTTACTTTATGTCGCCATAAATAAAACTATTCACCTTTATGAACAAACTTATATTAATTCAAAGCTCAAACTAAATTCAGCAGCTAACTAAAAAGTTTTCGATAACCTTCATCATAATCGAAATCAATTTAAAAATATGTAATTCGACAAACGAATAACGGCACGAGAGCAAAATACTCATTCACAATAGTTATAATGTGAAAAAAAAAACAGGGTGTTCGCTTAGCCGTTCAGCGGCTGACACATTTTACGGTTTGTTTGTTGCTTTAAGGCATAATAAAGGGGCCGCACAGCCAACAGGTACTAATTTAGAACAACGTTACGGGGATTTGCTGTGTGTTGTGGCAACGAAGGAAGTACAATTTATTACACGAAATGCGCGAAAAGTCACTCGAGAGTTTTGTGTGTTTTGGGGGCAAGAACTTGGACTGGCGCCTCAGTCGGGCACATCTCATTTTCAAAGTCAGCGCTTTGTCGTATTTATAGTTTTTATTTTTGTTAGCTTTTCGCAATTGATAAGAACTGTTGATGGCTTTGCTTTTGCATACTCTGCACTCACCTAACTATTTATAAAAATGAAAACAACACAAAAAAAAAACACTCGCACACATACATGCACACACAGATACGCTCGCCGATTGAGCATTTGACTCACCTTTTGTGTGTGTGTTTGTGTTGCTGGCGTCGTCGGCAGGTGGCGACAGCGGGCGGCTAGTAATAGCAAACACAACGTTTTGCTGTTCTTATTGTCGTTTCTGTTTTTGTTGTTCTTGTTGCTAGTGGCAGAGGCACCTGCAAAGAGCAGAGCAGAGCACAGTCATGTGTGGGTTTTACTTAAAGCAATTAAATTTAAATGAATCGTCTAGTAATATTGATTAATATTAGAGTCGAAAATACATTTTATGCATGCGGAGCAGCAACAAAACACGCACACACAAATAGAACACACACACACACACACACCAAGGCGCAAGGGCGCACGCCATGAATTACGGCAGAACTACATACGTCAGTGACTGCTCCTTACTATGGGCAGAAAGTAAATAAAAGCTGGCTTTATGCACGTGATTTTATGTTGTCACAGGCTCGAAGACACACACCTACACGAAACGACCCGGAAAACCGACAATAACGATGACCGCAACTCGTCTGCAACTGCAGAGGCCACTTTGCACCAGTAAATACCGACAGCAACTAAACAGAATGCCAGCGGCAAGCAACTTTTCATTCATGCTGCTCTGTGTGCGAGTGTGTGTGTGTGTGAGATCGGTCAGCTTTTACCGTTATATTGTGATGAGTGGGCATATACTCACACTTAAATGCTGCACTTTTGCCGCCACAAGTAATGGTGGTGAGAAAGTTTTTTATGTTTGCCAAAAAATATAAATATAGATACACTTTACATTTTGACAGCAAATGCACATATAAGTGTTAAATATATTAACCAAACTAAGCGCAGCGCGTGTTATCGATTTGCGCATCGATTGCGCGAGATCTCATAGCAGCAAGCTTATTGGTAGGTGTAATTCAGTGTGACCTGTCTTGAGTTGTTAAAAACATAAACAGCTGGTTGTTACGTCGCCGCACGCATTTATAGCTGACAAAAAATTAGACTGCAACTAATTAATGAAAATGTTACCTTTAGCACGCGGCATTTACGGCAGCTTGGCACAAATAACCCGCAACAGTCGTCTGGCACTACACACGGCCAGCGTGGTGCGTAGCAAAGCAGAAGCGGCTGCAGAAAATGAGGCGCCTGCAGAAAACAGTGAAGCAGCTGCAGCAAATGCAGCGCCAGATCCCAAGGATCGCACAAACCAAATACCCGTAGAGACTTCCATACGTTACCTGAAAAGCGCCGCCTACAAAACAACCTACGGTGATGAATTTGTGTGGACACAATATCGGTATGCAGCATAAAAAATATTAATTATGAATGCTTAACCAAGTTTCCTTTTCCTTATCAGTCGCAACCACAAGGGCATGTATGCGCCGCGCAAGACGCGCAAAACCTGCATACGCCAGGGCAAAATAAGCACCGGTAATCCGTGTCCCATATGCCGTGACGAATATTTGGTGCTGGACTACCGCAACACGGAGCTTTTGCAGCAGTTCATCTCGCCGTTCAGCGGCCAAGTGTTAAGCTACTCCAAAACCGGCTTGTGCCAGAAGAGTCATCTGCGTCTAACGGTCGCCGTGGAGCAGGCACGCGACTGTGGTCTAATCACCTACGATGTGCCCTTCCGGGAGTACGACTACAGCGAGTACTATGGAAAGCAGGAGGAGCAGAAGTCATAAAAATTAAACATTAAAAGTTAAACTGATTAAAATTTGTACGGTTAAAATGCTAAAAAGAAACTTTTATTGAGGTTATGTTGTCAGCTGTTCCAACAGCTGTTTTTATACCCTGTAGTCCGTGAAATATAGTGTATATTGGGTCAGTGCAAATGTTCGCAAACTATAAGGGCTAGAGACATCATATTTGGTTTATATAAAAGAATATGATATTTGAATACATACCGTAAATATCAAAAGAGGAAGTTATTTAAGATAAATTGTTTCACAGCTGATTAAAGAGCCAACTAAAATGAAGTTGGCTACACGGTACTTCATAGTCGAGCAGTGCAGACAAGACACACAAATATTAGTTGATTTTGTTATTTGTGCACAGCAATGTCTCGGGATTGCACCTTCCTAGTTGTCGGCGGCGGCATAGCTGGCGTCTCTTGTGCGGAGGCCTTAGTCATTTGTTGCCCCAGTGCATCCATTTTGCTGCTTACCGAATCGAGCATTGTCAAGAGCGTGGCTAATCTAGTGCCCGTGGCGCGTTATCTGCACAAGTTCGATGTGCGGGAGCAGAATGTTAAGGATTTGCGTGCTGGCATTGGCACCATAGTGGATCAGCTGGAGCACATCAACAGCAGCGAGCATTGGGTGCGCACCAAGGCGGGGCTGGTCATCAAATATCGTTATCTCTGCCTGTGCACAGGGGGTGCAGCCAAATTGTTTAGCACGGGCCAGGCAGAGCTGGAGGCACGCATCATCGGCATACGCGACACGGATTCGGTGCTGGAGCTGCAGCGACGGCTGGCCAGCGCCAAAGATGTGCTCATTCTGGGCAATGGCGGCATTGCCAGCGAACTGGCGCACGAGCTGCACGACGTCAAGGTACACTGGGTAATTAAGGATGGTCATATATCCGCTACATTTGTGGATCCTGGCGCTGCCGAGTTCTTTCAGCTGGCCAAGCAGGAGACGGATCAGACAACGCTGGCGCCTTCAACAGCTATCAAACGAATGCGCTATAGCGAAATGCTACCCACAGGCGAACAGCAGGAAGAAGGCGAATATAAGCGTGGCGCCGCTTTGGGTCCCGACTGGCATCGCAGCTACGACTTGAGCGGCAGCAGCGCAGAGAGTCCCGGCCGAGAGCTGCCCAAAATCTACTACAAGTCGCAAATAAAGCAGATAGAGCAGCTGCCGGATAGCGGCGCATTGTGCATCACTTTGAAGCATGACGACGGCAGTCTGGAGCGCCTCAACTGTGACTTTATTGTGTCCGCAACGGGCGTGCAGCCGCGTCACGATTACGATACGGATAAGCAGCTCCAGCTGGCTGAGGATGGTGGCGTTAATGTGGATGAAATGATGCGTACGAATCTGAGCGACGTTTATGCGGCTGGCGATGTGTGCACCGCTGCCTGGGCAAGGGCTCCGCACTGGTTCCAAATGCGCTTGTGGACGCAGGCCCGGCAAATGGGCGCCATGGCTGGACGCAGCATGGCAGCCGCACACGAAGGCGAAACCATTTATCAGGATTTTTGTTTTGAGCTCTTTGGGCATGTTACCCAACTGTTTGGCTTTCCTGTGGTGCTGCTAGGACGCTTCAATGGCCAGGATTTGGGGCGTGATTATGAGCTGCTCGTGCGGTGCACACGGAACAAGGAATACATCAAGTTTGTTCTACAGAATGGACGATTGCGCGGTGCTATACTTATTGGTGATACAGATCTGGCCGAGACTTGCGAGAATCTAATACTTAATGGCACAGATCTGACGCCATTTGGCGACGATATACTTAATCCAGATATTGATATTGAAGACTACTTTGATTAATGTACAACACTTTTACAAATAAAGTATTAGTTATGCTTAAAATTGAGATTAGTTCTAGGTTGTGCTCCGCATTTTCTTCTTGTGTCATTTGAGCTTTCCCTCGGTGCCTAGGCAAAAATAATGAATTAACTAATTCTAACTCTTATAATCTAAATAATTTTGATACGTACCCACATACTTAATCTCATCGAATGCCTTGCGTGCCTTCTTTAATTCCTCGTTCATGGTCAGCAAATCCTTGACCCTGGCATACTTGCGCTGATCTTTGCGCACCAGAAATATGATATCCTCCACTTGTACACGTCCAGTGCGTCCAATTTCCATGGCGCGATGTGTGGTCTCTGCAATGTACTCAATGACAAGATCCTCCAGTAGATCAACTGTTTCCGTATAGGGATTTTTATCGTCACCAAAGCCAAACATCATACATCGCAGCTCCTTGCTAAACAGACGCTTGCGGCCCGAATTTGTAGAAACCATTTGCTCATCATCCGCATCTTCATCGAACTGAAATGGGTTCATAAATTAATAATTGCACGCAAATATATACTTAATACTTACATCGGCACCTTCGAAATGTTCATCGGGCGTATTATTTGCAGCCATTATGTGTTTTGTTTATAACTTTATAAAAATAATAGTTCACGACCAACTGCAAGTATCGATGCCGCAAGTATGCTGACGGAACACTGTCAGAAGCTGACTGCTTTGGCACTGCCACGAAAATCGTAGTCAATATTTTTATCGATAGCAGAAGCGATAGCAGCTCTGTGCTAGCCGAGGCAGGCGCAGCTTCAACACAAGCGCATTCAAATTTAAACGCCTGTTGCCTTAAAAACAAACACTCTAAAATGGACGTTTATACATACGAAAAGTCATTTCTTGAGCGTCTTAAGGAAGCGGAAGCTGTTCTATCATGGGATAACGCACCCATGCCCGCCTCGCAAGTGCGCTCCGAGTGGAAGGCCTATGTGGAGTTGAAAATTGAGCCTGCGGGTAAGTGAATACCACACGCATGCGCACAGTACTCACACAGTTACACACGCAGGCTGGCAGGCTATGTGGAAAATACCACGCGTCATCTGCGAGGATTTAAAGCTACGCTATCCCACCATTGTATTCGGTTATGTGGAACAGGTTATATTCGATGAACTCAAGGCGGTGTTTACGGTGACCGCGGTCCAGGACCAGGATGTGCATTTACCGGAAAGCAATGAGGTGTCACTAATCGAACTGTGGCCCACGTTGCAGCAGGAGAACTCCGCATTGAATGTGGACACCACGGCAGAGTGCATTGATCGATTGCGTTTCTTCTACGCACACGTCTGGATGCCCTGGGATAAGGACTACGATGACGATCGCGATTGGGTGCAGATGCATTTGCAGGCGCGCATACAGCTGGCTTGTGACTTACGCAAGAACCGCTTGCCACGCCCACTTGCGCTTCATATGCGCACACTATTAATGGAGGCGCGATATATACAACAGCGCCTGGAGTATCTCGAGCTCGACATGAGTGATGCTGAGGACGAAAGCGATGACGAGGCCGTGGAGTTAAATGACAATGCCACAGACCCACCACGCAAACAGCCCAAAACAGGCGGCAGCCCAAAGGCAAACAACTTGAATAAGTCCATGTTGCCAGTTACCGATTTGATGTGCCTGCACTTGCGCCTTGCCATCATCCGCAGCGAGTTCGAGATACTCGAGAACCCGGAAATGCGACGTGCCTACAGCGAGCTACAGAGCAATGTCTTAAAGCGGCACTTGCTGCAGCGCAGCCCAGGGCGTCTGCATCAATTGACAGAGCATGTTGAGCATACGAACATGTGCCACCTGGTGACAGTGCCGGGTGAGGTGCAGACACAGATTACTCTCCTCACGCTGGCCGAGAAGCTTGTAAAGCCGCATACAAAAGTGCAGCTGGGCAACACCTTGCAGGTGAGTGTTGTTCTAATTTAGTTATCATTTATAAAATTCAAGTTTTCCTATTTTCAGGACGTGCTCAGCATCTCGCAGGCCAACGATGACATAC